ATGGAGTATCCATGGATCACCACATGGGTTAAACCCAACATAAGGAATCATAGATCATAAGCCCACATATACAAGAATCAATGATTTACACAATCAATCCTCATATATTTAATTAGTCTCCTTTGCTCTCTAAATTAATTACAAATTAATTCTTGATCGACACTAAATAAATAATATGATTTCATATTAATATATTAGAACTTATAATATATTAATATGTCACAAATATCCTCTTCTCATAAAAGGTCTACCCAAATGTTCTGATGCCATGCAACCCAAATGGACCATGCCTGGTCGGGTCAAGTATATACCAATTATAGTTATGGACTTAGACACTAATCCAACATGTATGTATGTATGTATGTATGTATGTATGTATGTATGTATGTATTTATGTATGTATGTATGTATGTATGTATGTATGTATGTATCTATGTATCTATCTATCTATCTATCTATCTATCTATCTATCTATCTATCTATCTATGCTTTTGTATGTCTGTATGTGTATGTATGTGCGATTGTATATGTATGTGTATCTATGTTTATGTATGTCTATATGTGTATGTATGTATCTATGTTTATGTATCTCTAAGGTAGAACAAGAATGTCTCATACTCAACGGTAGGTCTAGACTCCGCTTACATATATCATAATCATCTCTAATTAATAATTTATAATAACAACTCCAAGATGTTAAACTAACTCCTTTTTCTCGGAAAGGGTGAACGACCATTTTACCCCTCCATGGTCTCGAAAATCCCTAACTTGACCCAACCCTAAAAGTCAACAGAACTCAACACTCGAGTCAACAGTCCATGTTGACCTAACTTATCGAGCGCATCTATGTAACTCGTCGAGTTCCTTCGTTTCTCTGAAGAATCGGGAAAAATCCAACTCAACTCGCCGAGTTGTCTCACCAACTTGCCGAGTTCGTAACGCGCCCAGACTATCGGGGAAAACCCTAACCAACTCGCCAAGTTGGCTCACTAACTTGTCGAGTTCGTTCAAGATATTCTCTCATTCAGACGTCTTTAAGAAATACTCAGGCCCCAAACTCTAGATCTAGCCTCCTAAGGCTGAAATACCACGTAAAGCTGCAAGCGTTACGTCCATGCATGGCATCTAGGGCTAAGTTTGCCAAACCAAAGCTCAACAAAGGGTTTAAGGCATGGAAATTGTCCAAAGCTTGATAAAGCTTGCATCTTTAGGCCTAAGGGACCCAATATTGTCCACATCTGAAGCCTTATCTTCAAGGCATGCTCAAACAACTAAATGACTCAAAAGAAGGTAGAAATGGCCATAAACTCTCTAATGGAGAGATCTAAGAAACAAGTGGTCAAGGTAATAGCTTTTTACCTCCAAATAGTAGCTAACACTGAAAGAATGTTGGATCCAAGGAATCCTTCTCATTCCAAGCCTCTTGCTCCTTAAGCTCCTTCAAAGTATGCACTAAAACACACACTCTTAGCGCCTCTTTCTCTCTCTCACATGTGATAATAGCTCGATTAGGGTTTCTTTCAGGGTGTTAAGGTGATGAGGGATGCGGGGTAAAGGACTTAAGGTCCTTTAAATAGGGTGCAAACCCTGAAAATTAGGGTTTTCACGCTCAACTCCTACTCGTCGAGTTGGGTCGTCTAATTCGTCGAGTTGACTCTAAAAACCACGTGGCTATCTCAATCTGTACTCGACGAGTTAGGGCCTCGAACTCGTCGAGTTGTCCTACAAAAATGAATATAAAACAATTTAAATTTGTACCTGGGAGTCGGGATGTTACAATCCACCAAACCAGGGTCAGCCTGAGTGGCGGATCGCACAGAAGGAACGACAAACGCCAACGCCTGATCGGAACTAACAGATGGAGGAAGGATCTCCACCACGGGTACCTCATGGTACTGGAGATCACCCTTATACTTGCCCCCCCCCCAAACCATCTCAAGGGATAACACCCTTTCAATACCTGCAAATACAAACAACAAATGAATTAGCAACCCCCTTTCGTCTACCAAAAAAGTAAAAAAAAAATAAAAAATAAAGGAGGGGGAGGAGAAAAGCACCTACCATACTTCTTCATATAGAACTTGGGCATCATCCCCTAGGCCCGTCATGTGGTGCTCAATTCCAGATCGTGGTGTCGTCGTTGTTTTTTTAGTGAAAACACGAGAAAGAAGAGGGAGTAAGAAAAGAGAAGTCGGAAGCAATTGAGAACGAAAGAGTAAAGAGAAAATTTGTTCCTGATAGTGAAGTTTTAAATGAGGAGCGGGAATATCGACCCGTCTCAATGATGAAACCGCCTGTGCTGACAACTTCATCACATCAACAAATGTCCAGACCATCTCCACCGAACACGTATCCTGATCAAGACTAGAACAACTCAGTTACGCTATGTCAACGCAAACGTCTACTAGCCTAGGGGACTTGTTAACATATCCCTCCAGGAATACGTTAAAGATAACATAATTGTTATATTTAGGACGACCTAATTAACGGTTGCTACGTAGCCTAGTATCTGACCCAGGTCCTCACCCTCGTGGTCTCGTACTAGGGCCTTTGTACTTGGCACTCTCGCACCCAAGTCCAATCCCACACAATGGTCTCCGGTCTATAATAAGCCAAAACACAGTTGGTCACTTCCCGTGGAGACAAGTTTAACATAACACTCAGAGCGTTGCCCTCTGTCTCCTCTGCACCAATAGCAGATGACCACTAGTGGTGTACGATCCACCAATGAGACTCCTCCATGTCCTGTCGGCCTAGACGGGACAAATGATATTGTTGGGATCATGCTCAGAAGAAGACATGTCTAAAAGTGGATCCTTCTCCTCCAGGGGAAGGGATCGCTTTCTTCTTACCAAAACCCTAATCTCTATATTCTCACACATACACTCATACTAACTAGATCGTCGGAGCTCCGTCTATGGACTACCTCCCGGACGTCAGTTGGAACCACCACGAGACGACATTAAGCCTCGAGCACATATCACAACAAGAGTAAAATATTAGGACTTTTCTAGAGATTTCCCTTAATTAGTGAATACAATGAGTAAATTTGACTGTTTCATTGTTGTTAATGGGTTTTGAGCTTTACCAATAACACATTTAAGATAAAATATAATCAAAACAGTTCATTTTAATTTCAAAATACCTGTAACATTAATTATAGTTTATGGTGATTCTTAATCTTGTTTTTGAACATCAAACAATAATTAAATGATATGTCTAATGTCTAAACAATATATTATTTAAGAACAATAAATTATATGTTTTCTGGAATTAATGAAACCCTAGCCTTGGATCATTGAAGACATCCCAATGAAATCCTGGGCTATCAATCCAGTTTTGTGGCAATTCTAATTCAAATGAATTGTTCAAAGATTCAAGTTGATGATTATGTGACATCATCATAAATCCAATGTCTTCGATCGTTGTTGAAGTTTTATCGGTTATGATGTCTGTTTTTTTGTCTTTGATGTTGTAGTTACTGAAAATGTTATGAGAAGAAGTGGATTCGCCATTCTCCCTTTTGATTGTCGTGTCTGTATCATGATGTTGCTCTATTGGGGTATGTGTACGATGGTCTAATCCCAAGAACTTCATCTTCTTCTTGATTCGGGTATTCCAATGGTTCTTGATCTCGTTATCTGTACGGCCTGGGAATTGAGCTGCTATTTTCGACCACCTAATACCAGAGAAAACTATTAGTAAATAGGTTATATTACAACTTAAACTTTATTGCATATACATAACAATAATAATCACATGAAACGGAAAATCAAACATAGTGTTTTGCAGTTTGACAATATGTTTATGCCCCGACTAGTATCAATATTTTCATTACATCTTTGTGAATGCTAATTTGTAATACATCCACAAAACAAAGATGACTCTGTTATAACCTCCTCAAACAAAGATGATTTCTCAAAAGGCAAATGAATAACATTTGTGTAGCTGTAGGGAAAAAAACTGAAAAATGGAGCCGTTCCCAAACACTGGACGAGATTCTAGGGTCGGTTTGGGATAAAAATCGAAGGGGATTGTGTTACAATATGACGTCTCTTGGATGTTATATATATAAGCTCTTTACAAGATATTTATTCAAGCTCTTTTCGGTTTTCATTGGACTCCAATATATTAATTGTGTTGCTTAATGTAAATATTTAGTATGTTTTTTGCTATTATGTATTGCGGAATTCAAGTCTTTATATCTGATTTTTATCGTTACGTGGATTTTAATTTTCCTGATTTATATTGTTCTATGCAACTGAAAAACCCAAAAACCCAATATATAGCTATCTATCTAGTTGAACCCAAAAACTTTCCGAACCCGAAAATATGTATTTTTAGGGAGTAAAACCCGAAATTTTAGAGTTTGGGTTTCATTTTAGGCAGAAACCGAATCAAACTGAACAGTACTTAGATGAAAATGGTCTCCTTGATTCCACTCAATAATATAACTTTATAAAACAAAACAGTAGTGGAATTATGTAGAGATTACCTATTGCCAAGACGCGAATGAAGTTGAATAATCATATCTTCTTCTGCTTCTGTAAACGCGCCTCTTTTGAGGTCCGGCCGCAAGTAATTAATCCATCTCAACCTACAACTCTTTCCACATCTCATCAACCCTACAACACACAAACAAAGAAATTAATTCCAAAACACTCATGAGATTCAGATCCTTCAAGTACAAGAGCAAAAAACGAACCTGCAAGCTTGGGAACAACTCGCCAACACTGAATGCCATTGTTGAGGATAAAGTTCATGAGCTTATGATCTTCATCAATGGTCCATGGTCCTCTTCTTAATCCATTTTTTTCACAACATGGTTGTCTTCCCATCTTGATTGCATAAAACACTAGAATAAAAAGACGGGTAAACAAACTAAAGGTGTGATGTACTGATGTATACGTGTATGTATGTAAATATATAAGGTTTTGAAACCCGTTATCTGAAAATAAGAAAGATGGGAATAGAAACTTGTGTCGTTTGTATACCGAGTTGAAAGCAAAGATTCTGACAACTATCATAACCCATGATTGAGTAAGAAAGCACCAACCTTTATCACTAAAGATTAATATATATTTTGTTAATGATCATAATTATTGTCAAAGAACAAAAAAGTAATTAAGAAATGGAAGAGACATGAGTTACATGCTTTTTAAAATATGAGATGAATAGAACCACAAAAGTCTTGTGAAATTAATTTAATCCAAAAGCAAAACATTACTTGTAATACACTATTCGAAAAAAAAAATAATAATAATAATAATAATTATATAATATTATCTTGATATTTTTTTTTCTGTCATTTGTATTCAGGTCTAAATAAAACCCGAGTTTGATGCAAGAATGCAAATACATAGTTGAGTTTGATTTTGTGAATGACTCATGTGGCCTTTGTTAAGTCCAAAAGTTCAGGTTCTATCTAATGGATCCATATTCAAAAAGTTTATAGAGTTTAATGGGTAGTTATATTATTATTATACTTTTCATTCAACTATATCATTTTTTTCTTATTTAATGTTATAAAGTTCAATGGAACATGTTTTAAAAAAAAATCATGTATTATAAAACCTAATTTATATATTTATTTAAGGATTAAATATTTTATTTTTCATTAAAGAGTTCAATGATTGAAGTCTATATACATTGATCTTTAAGATGGCATCCAACATTCTACATAATTTGGCTCTTCTATTAAATCATGTATTATGGATGTTGTAAATACTATAACTCAAGACATATATGTTTTTTTTTTTTTTGAAACGGCTCTTCTATTAAACGGCTCTTTTACTCCTAAATAACCACCTATGTCTCCACCGAGACTTGAACCTCTGACCTCTCATATGAGATGGTCACTCCATACCGCTAGGCCATTGGCCCTTTTCAACTCAAGACATATATGTTAAAAGCGTCTAAATTCGTTTTTCTCTTGAGAAAATCCTCCGAGTGTTTTTCAAGTTTGATACTGATTTGAATATGACGACACCAATTGAGATCAAATATCTTATAGTCGGTTTTGTTGAGTTATGTTTTGTTCATTTATACTTAATTTGTTTAATTTTAAACAAGGCTTATTTTTATATTAAATATTGGATAGGTTCCATAATTGCAAGGTCCCCCTTATGGTTGTCAAGTTTCATGAATGGGGAGCAACCTTTTTTGTTTAATTTTTTTTGGCGAGGCAGATATTTTATTCCAATATTCCTTTTGTACGAGTCTCTATTTGCTAAATATATGATAATTTTTTAATTTTTAATTAAAAAGATAATCATTGCAAGAAAGTAAAACAATTAGGCTGCGCATGGTACAAATCCACTGTGGTTTTATTGAACTTTTAATGTACATTTTGCTAGTGGACTTATTTTACATAATACTTTTGGCATATTATATAACACGTAAATACATAACTCATTTAATTAGGAAGTATTTGAAGTTGTCATAAAAGTTTTACATTTTGAGAGATTAGTCACTGCAACAAAGGTTTTAATTTTGGCAGATTTAGTTCTTATAAAAACTTTTTGCAGATTTAATTCCTGCAATAAAGATTTTACATTTTGATATATTTAATATCTGTAATTTTTTAATTTACATAAAATGTCAATGTAAAGTTTTTTATTATTATTTTTTTATTTTTTTATTTTTTTTTACAAAAATAGTCCGTATGTCTAATATTTTTGTATTTTGGCAAGTATGACCCTGTATAAAAAATTAATTAGAAAAATTATTCTCGTAGTTTACTAGCGAATATCAAAGTGTATTTTTTTTTACAAAAACGGTCCATATGTTTAAAAAAAGTACAAAAATTGTCCCCGTAATTTATAAAATATGTTATTATGTATTTTTTTTATAGAAACAGTTCATATGTTTAAAAAATTACAAAAATAGTCCATACCTATAAAATTTACAAGTTTTGTCCTTACACTTTCCTATGTCAGCAAGTTTTGTCCTCCAAATAATGTACACAAAACGATAAACAATTAATAATAATAATTTTCTTTTGTGTGACTAGAACATATAATAAACAAAATAATTTCTATTTAATATATATATATATATATATATATATATATATATATATATATACTAGCCGTTTACCCACGCCAAGCTACGGGTGTGAATAGTTTTTTCATAAATTAGATAATTTTAATAATATCAATTCTAACAATTTTAGAAATAGAAAAATAAAGGGTTAATGTCATAAAAACCATCAAGTTTTTAGGGTTTTGTCGGTTTTGCCCAAAGTTGAAATTTATGTCCGT